GACATCGCATGACCCCCCCCCCGCCTAACGGCCGAGGGTGACGGGGTCGCGAGTGAGCGGTGAGAGCCCCTGGGAGCCCACGAGTGACGCCCTCGGAGCGCATTCGGTGCTCTTGAAGGCGATGTGTCCAGCACGTGACCTTTGGCACCGGTCGTTCCTCCTTGCCCAATTACTGGGCAATTTGGCGATGGGCAGCCGTGACCCTGACCACCCTCGTGTTTGCGCTGGGCCCGCCTGGCGGCCTGGATGTTAACTAGGCACATTGCCCGAAACGTCGCGTATGATATATATTTTTATTTCAAGGCCGCAGTGTTATCAACGGCATGTGTTGAGTTTTGTTCTTTGTCGTCTGATCGTCGTTACACCGGAGCGCCTTGTTGATTGGACGGTGCTGCTGCTTGTCTCCAACAGCGCAGCGCCGTGGGACCGACGGTAGATACATGGACACGTGACACTGTGTTTCCCGCCCGCGATCTGTGCCATGGTGCTGGTCGTGGTGGTTACGCTGCTGCGCGTGGGTTGGTGGATCACCGTACAAATGTTGTGAAACTCCCTTCCCCATCGGGAGTCGAGGAGGTGCCGCGCATGCGAGGGGGGAACACTCTATCCCGAACCGGAGGGCCATGATAACAGTCCGAACTCTGCTGTACTGCATTCTGCTGGCGAGGCAGATTATTGCTCCTCGATGCCCACGGGAAGGGACTAGCGGTGTGGTTGATGTTCGTGTGTGATTGGTAGCGGTGCGATTGGCGGTGGGGGTACGATGAGTGGAACTCAGATTGGTGGAGCTGCACGCCCCCCCCCCTACCCGCGTCGGTGATCGCTCACCAAGTCCCAGGCGCGGTCATCGATGGAGAGGCGGTGGGGGGGGGGCTCGCGGCTTTAATAGCCGACATGGCGTGGTCACCGACATAGCGTGGTCGCGCATGTCGATGAGGAGCGGCGACCTCCCGTGACCCAGTCGCGTCGCCTAGATGGATCATTCCGGGATCATGCGCGACCCATCACACACGCAGCTTTAATTAACCATCACACATACGCAGCTTTAATTAACCATCACACACACACAGCTTTAATTAACCGTGATTGTCCACAGGGAACGCGCGGAGGAATATCCCCAGCGTGTTTCACGCGGTGCTCCAAAGGGAGCTTCGTCTCAGACGGCTCCTCTTGCAGCCGCAAGACAGTTTGCTGCGGCAGCTTATTTATAACGGATGGCCTATGTCACTGTGTGTGCTCGAAGGTGTCTCGTGTTATATAAATAATTGTATTTGTTTATTCAGGCGAGCCGCATTGAGTCGCACAAATCTTATTCCGGAGGGTCTTGTATCAGGTTTTTATTGTACGATGTCTTGAGTCAATTTATGATGAGCGTTTATTATTCACGTGAGGGAACCGGCGCATCCGTACAGATGGAAACAGATGGTGATGAGTCCACTTGCTGTACAGCCTTCTCGTGGCGAGCCAAGGGTATGGTATCTCCTCCACGCCCACGGGAAGGGAGTTTCACAAGAGCGTCAGGTCGGTGACCCACCAACCCTCGCTGCCTCCACAGCGCTGGAGTATAGCAGCTGCGTGCATAGCCACCGTCCACCGTGACCCGGCTAAAGGCAGAGACGCTGTACACATGCACACGCTGTGTGTGCTCATGATGATTGATATTCTGACAGCGGTGATGGTGATCATTGCCGTGGCGCCGATGGTGGTGGTAATGACGATCGTAACGGTAACAGCGAGGAGTGATCATGAATTATGGTAATGAGTGTACAGTCACTGAGCGCGCGTGGGTGATCGTGCCCGTGTTTGTGTGTGTGATTGTGCCCGTGCTTGTGTGATTGTGCCAGTGTTTGTGTGTGTGCGAATGTGCCCTTGTGTGCGTGTGTGTGATTGTGTCCTTGTGTGTGATTGTGCCTGTGTTTGTGTGCGTGTGTGTGAATGTGCCCTTGTGTGATTGTGCCTGTGTTTGTGTGTGTGAATGTGCCCTTGTGTGATTGTGCCTGTGTTTGTGTGCGTGTGTGTGATTGTGCCTGTGTTTGTGTGTGTGAATGTGCCCTTGTGTGATTGTGCCTGTGTTTTTGTGCGTGTGTGTGATTGTGTCCTTGTGTGCGTGTGTGTGATTGTGCCTGTGTTTGTGTGCGTGTGTGTGAATGTGCCTGTGTTTGTGTGCGTGTGTGTGATTGTGCCCTTGTGTGCGTGTGTGATTGTGCCTGTGTTTGTGTGCGTGTGTGTGATTGTGCCTGTGTTTGTGTGCGTGTGTGTGATTGTGCCTGTGTTTGTGTGCGTGTGTGTGAATGTGCCCGTGTTTGTGTGTGATTGTGCCCGTGTTTGTGTGCGTGATTGTGCCTGTGTTTGTGTGCGTGTGTGTGAATGTGCCCTTGTGTGTGATTGTGCCTGTGTTTGTGTGTGTGATTGTGCCTGTGTTTGTGTGCGTGTGTGTGATTGTGCCTGTGTTTGTGTGCGTGTGTGTGAATGTGCCTGTGTTTGTGTGCGTGTGTGTGATTGTGCCTGTGTTTGTGTGCGTGTGTGTGATTGTGCCTGTGTTTGTGTGCGTGTGTGTGATTGTGCCTGTGTTTGTGTGCGTGTGTGTGAATGTGCCCGTGTTTGTGTGTGATTGTGCCCGTGTTTGTGTGCGTGAATGTGCCCGTGTTTGTGTGCGTGTGTGTGATTGTGCCTGTGTTTGTGTGCGTGTGTGTGATTGTGTCCTTGTGTGTGATTGTGCCTGTGTTTGTGTGCGTGTGTGTGAATGTGCCCTTGTGTGATTGTGCCTGTGTTTGTGTGTGTGAATGTGCCCTTGTGTGATTGTGCCTGTGTTTGTGTGCGTGTGTGTGATTGTGCCTGTGTTTTTGTGCGTGTGTGTGATTGTGTCCTTGTGTGCGTGTGTGTGATTGTGCCTGTGTTTGTGTGCGTGTGTGTGAATGTGCCTGTGTTTGTGTGCGTGTGTGTGATTGTGCCCTTGTGTGCGTGTGTGATTGTGCCTGTGTTTGTGTGCGTGTGTGTGATTGTGCCTGTGTTTGTGTGCGTGTGTGTGATTGTGCCTGTGTGCGTGTGTGTGAATGTGCCCGTGTTTGTGTGTGATTGTGCCCGTGTTTGTGTGCGTGATTGTGCCTGTGTTTGTGTGCGTGTGTGTGAATGTGCCCTTGTGTGTGATTGTGCCTGTGTTTGTGTGTGTGATTGTGCCTGTGTTTGTGTGCGTGTGTGTGATTGTGCCTGTTTGTGTGCGCGTGTGTGATTGTGCCTGTGTTTGTGTGCGTGTGTGTGAATGTGCCTGTGTTTGTGTGCGTGTGTGTGATTGTGCCCTTGTGTGCGTGTGTGTGATTGTGCCTGTGTTTGTGTGCGTGTGTGTGATTGTGCCTGTGTTTGTGTGCGTGTGTGTGATTGTGCCTGTGTTTGTGTGCGTGTGTGTGAATGTGCCCGTGTTTGTGTGTGATTGTGCCCGTGTTTGTGTGCGTGAATGTGCCCGTGTTTGTGTGCGTGTGTGTGATTGTGCCTGTGTTTGTGTGCGTGTGTGTGAATGTGCCCGTGTTTTAGTGTGTGATTGTGCCTATGTTTGTGTGCGTGTGTGTGATTGTGTCTGTGTTTGTGTGCGTGTGTTTGAATGTGCCCGTGTTTGTGTGCGTGAATGTGCCCGTGTTTGTGTGTGTGAATGTGCCCGTGTTTGTGTGCGTGTGTGTGAATGTGCCTGTGTTTGTGTGCGTGATTATGCCTGTGTTTGTGTGCGTGTGTGTGATTGTGCCTGTGTGTGTGTGCGTGTGTGTGCGTGTGTGTGAATGTGCCCGTGTTTGTGTGTGATTGTGCCCGTGTTTGTGTGCGTGAATGTGCCCGTGTTTGTGTGCGTGTGTGTGATTGTGCCTGTGTTTGTGTGCGTGTGTGTGAATGTGCCCGTGTTTTAGTGTGTGATTGTGCCTATGTTTGTGTGCGTGTGTGTGATTGTGTCTGTGTTTGTGTGCGTGTGTTTGAATGTGCCCGTGTTTGTGTGCGTGAATATGCCCGTGTCTGTGTGTGAATGTGCCCGTGTTTGTGTGCGTGTGTGTGAATGTGCCTGTGTTTGTGTGCGTGATTATGCCTGTGTTTGTGTGCGTGTGTGTGATTGTGCCTGTGTGTGTGTGCGTGTGTGTGAATGTGCCCGTGTTTGTGTGTGATTGTGCCCGTGTTTGTGTGCGTGATTGTGCCTGTGTTTGTGTGCGTGTGTGTGATTGTGCCTGTTTTTGTGTGCGTGTGTGTGAATGTGCCCGTGTTTTAGTGTGTGATTGTGCCTATGTTTGTGTGCGTGTGTGTGATTGTGTCTGTTTGTGTGCGTGTGTGTACGCGGGGAACGGTATGGGGAGCTGCGGTGCAGCGGTTAGCGCGCTGCGTTTCGAAACATGGCGATTCGAGTTAAACTAATCTTTATTTTACCAGGTAAGGCCCACTGAGCTAAAAAGCTTTTTTTCGGAAGCGACCTGGCTATCACAAATTTCTAGCAGCCAAATACTCTAAAAGCGTGGTGGTTATAAATGTGGAGAGAAAACCCGGAGGACCCGGAGAAAAATCCACGCGACCACGGGCAGAGACACGCAGACTCCAAATATACAGCAGCAGGCGTCAGGGGCGGGATCGAACCCACGACCTCCTGTATACCAGGGGAGGTAGTTAACATCTAGCCACCGTGAATGCGATTCCCGCTCACGGCCAACACCAGTGACGATGATGTGAACCGGTCCTGTGCCTCCCCTAGGTCGACTCAGCCTTAAATGAGTACCCGGTGCGGTGTGTAAACATCACCACTAGGGAGACAAAGGCGGCAGGATGTGGTGCTGGCCACCCACCCCCTCGTGTGCTGTGTTGGCCATGTGAGGGCTCATTACGCCCCTTCCGACAAGCAAGCCAGCATCAGGACGAAGTGAAAATAAAACCGAATTTTTTTGTTACTACTTACGTTACTTTATTTTACTTTTTATTTACTATTCAGTATTTATTACGTGATTACATGCAAATGTACAATATTTATTCCTAATGCTTACCTTGTTTGATGAACCGCAACCCATTTTAAAACTGATCCTTTGTGCTTTTAAATGCAGTACTTGATTGTGTTCCGACTTGCGAAACGTTCGACTTATGAACAGGAACGGAACCCATTGGTAAGTCGAGGACTGCCCGTACACGTCATCTCTCTTGCTTTCGCATTGTAAACCTGTAAAGGACAAATGGCAAAGAGCGCGACAACCTGGTGGTGAAATCTCGCAACGACAGCTCGTAAGCCTGGCGCTCGTGTGTGTGACACTGTGCGGACTGCTATGGCAGTGACATTCCACCAGCAACATTCTCACTCCGTCGCTCCCATCGCTCCCACCCTGTCCACTCCAACTCCAAACCTCGCTCTACAGCAGGGACGGGGAACCTTTTTTTCTGCCAAGGGCCATTTGGATATTTATAACATCATTCGCAGGCCATACAAAGTTACCAACTTACAAATTAGCCTGTTATATTTGGTCAAATATTTAATGAACTCACCTCTAATGTGATGGCTGGAACTGCTTCTCTTTAGCGAGGCGTGTGATGATGTTAGCTGGTATTGATGATGTTAGCTGGTATTGATGATGTTAGCTGTTATTGACGATGTTAGCTGGTATTGACGATGTTAGCTGGTATTGATGATGTTAGCTGGTATTGATGATGTTAGCTGGTATTGATGATGTTAGCTGGTATTGATGATGTTAGCTGGTATTGATGATGTTAGCTGGTATTGATGATGTTAGCTGGTATTGGTGATGTTAACTGGTATTGATGATGTTAGCTGTTATTGACGATGTTAGCTGGTATTGATGATGTTAGCTGGTATTGGTGATGTTAACTGGTATTGATGATGTTAGCTGGTATTGATGATGTTAGCTGGTATTGATGATGTTAGCTGGTATTGATGATGTTAGCTGGTATTGATGATGTTAGCTGGTATTGATGATGTTAGCTGGTATTGATGTTAGCTGGTATTGATGATGTTAGCTGGTATTGATGATGTTAGCTGGTATTGATGATGTTAGCTGGTATTGATGATGTTAGCTGGTATTGATGATGTTAGCTGTTATTGACGATGTTAGCTGTTATTGACGATGTTAGCTGGTATTGATGATGTTAGCTGGTATTGATGATGTTAGCTGGTATTGACGATGTTAGCTGGTATTGATGATGTTAGCTGGTATTGATGATGTTAGCTGGTATTGATGATGTTAGCTGGTATTGATGATGTTAGCTGGTGTTGACGATGTTAGCTGGTATTGATGATGTTAGCTGGTATTGATGATGTTAGCTGGTATTGACGATGTTAGCTGGTATTGATGTTAGCTGGTATTGATGATGTTAGCTGGTATTGATGATGTTAGCTGGTGTTGACGATGTTAGCTGGTATTGGTGATGTTAGCTGGTATTGATGATGTTAGCTGGTATTGGTGATGTTAACTGGTATTGGTGATGTTAGCTGCTATTGGTGATGTTAGCTGGCATTGATGATGTTAGCTGGTATTGACGATGCTAGCTGGTATTGGTGATGTTAGCTGGTATTGACGATGTTAACTGGTATTGGTGATGTTAGCTGGTATTGGTGATGTTAGCTGGTATTGATGATGTTAGCTGGCATTGATGATGTTAGCTGGTATTGATGTTAGCTGGTATTGACGATGTTAGCTGGTGTTGATGATGTTAGCTGGTGTTGACGATGTTAGCTGGTATTGGTGATGTTAGCTGGTATTGATGTTAGCTGGTATTGATGATGTTAGCTGGTATTGACTATGTTAGCTGGTATTGACGATGTTAGCTGGTATTGACGATGTTAGCTGGTATTGATGATGTTAGCTGGTATTCATGATGTTAGCTGGTATTCATGATGTTTGCTGGTATTGATGTTAGCTGGTGTTGATGATGTTAGCTGGTGTTGATGATGTTAGCTGGTGTTGACGATGTTAGCTAGTATTGACGATGTTAGCTGGTATTGACGATGTTAGCTGGTATTGGTGATGTTAGCTGGTATTGATAATGTTAGCTGGTATTGATGATGTTAGCTAGTATTGACGATGTTAGCTGGTATTGACGATGTTAGCTGGTATTGATGTTAGCTGGTATTGGTGATGTTATCTGGTATTGGTGATGTTAGCTGGTATTGACGATGTTAGCTGGTATTGACGATTTTAGCTGGTATTGATGATGTTAGCTGGTATTGATGATGTTAGCTGGTATTGATGATCTTCTTGGTTCTTTCGGTAAAGTCACGTAGAATGGAAATAAAATGATAATAAAAAAATAAAACATAATAAAATAAGATTCTCACGACGTTTCGGCCACAAAACAAGTAGCCTTCTTCAGGTGAATAAACAGGACTGTCCCGAAGACAGCGCTTGAGTGAACATTGCCAAGCCTGGACCGCGTCTTTTAAGCTGTGTGGGCGGAATTAACATATGAATTAGCATGTTACCCAGCACCACCACCGGATCGGGGGAGGGTGGCGGCGGGTACACAGACACAAGGAAAGAAAAAAGGAATAGGATAGGTGCGCTGTTCTGTCCTGTATTGCGTTAATAACTATGCTATAAACTGGACTACTATACAATATATATTCATATTCTTAGTTCTTTCGGTAAAGTCACGTTGAAGGGAAACAACAAAATAATAAAATAAATATAAAACAATAAAAATTCTCACGACGTTTCGACCATAACACAAACGGTCGTCATCAGGTGTGTTGGTTTGCATAAATGTATTTGTAAACGGTGTATTTATTTATTTAGAAAAAACGTCAGCGCCACGCGCAGCGATTTGGCAGTTTATTTAGAAGGACTAGTCCATCTATAGTCTCCTCTTTTCAGAATATAGATGGACTAGTCCTCCTAAATAAACTGCCAAATCGCTGCACGTGGCGCTGACGTTTTTATAAATAAATAAATACACCGTTTAAAAATACATTTATGCAAACCAACACACCTGAAGACGACCGTTTGTGTTATGGTCGAAACGTCGTGAGAATTTTTATTGTTTTATATATATTTTATTATTTTGTTGTTTCCCTTCAACGTGACTTTACCGAAAGAACTAAGATTATGAATTACTACAGTCACAAAAGCTTTAAATCAAAATTTACTATACAATATATTATTATACCTTCCAATCTAAACTACATGGTATAATATCATATCCATAGACAAAAAAATCCACCTTTGAATTATACAATGCGTTACTATACACTGCCCTATACTTTAGACTATAAAATATTAGACTTGTAACTTTACACCGTCTTATTTTTATCAACCCCACTATATGCCACACTGCTGTATATTCACTATACAATTATGATACTATATATTGCCATATGAATTGTGTTAAACATTACGATGTTATACTATTTAATATTATACCACATGCTATAAACTATACCATTGACTGTCGTGTGAAAGGTATTAAGAGGCAGTACCAACGAATGGACTTCGGTCTGAAGGTCACCGTAAAATACAATCAATTAAGAACCGAAATGGTTTATAACATCTTTCCAATGGTTACGAAGCCAGAATCCATCTTCTCGGTTGAAATTGTCTCTGTGTTTGTATATGTGGATGGCCTCATGAACAAATCTCTCATGGTAGCCAGATGGCTTGCAGAGAACCTCCGTCTTGGAGAAGTCAATGTCATGTGAGCCCACTGAATTATAACAGTGATCTGCCACGGCTGAGGAGTTCGTCCTACCGTGTTTCAAGTCTACTTTATGTTCACGGATGCGGTCCGAGATATGTCGGTTGGTTTCTCCAATGTAGCTGCTACCACAGAGGCAACTTAGTTTGTAAACGCCCGGGTACTGTATGTCTGGGACCACATCTTTTACAGACGGAACCAGATCACGGATTTTATGCACTGTGTTGAATCGGACCTAGATCTTGTGTTTATTCAGGATTTTGGAGATTTTTTTGTGACCCCCGCAATGTAGGGTAAGGTGATGGTTTTGAATGGCTCCTCAAGAGGATCCTTCTTCGTGGCTGGAGTGATGGCTTTGCGGATTGTGTAGTCGGAGTAACCATTAGCCTTGAGAGCTTGGTGTACTGCTTGAGTTCACTGGCAATGTGTTCCTGGTCGGAAATGCATTGGGCTCTATGGTATAGAGTCTTGATGAGCGAGTTCTTCTAGGATGGATGGTGGTGGGAATCCGGTTTTAAGTAAGCATCCGTATGGGTAGCTTTCCTGTAGACAGAGTGGCTCATTGAACCATCAGGTCTCCTTTTAATTAAGATATCCAAAAAGGGTAACTTGCCATCTTTTTCGACCTCAATGGTAAATCTGATGGTTGGGTGTGTGGAATTGATGTGGTCGAGGAATTGGTCTAGAGCAGGTCGGCCATGTGGCCAGATGACAAAAGTGTCATCCATGTACCTCTTCCATAAGGTCGGGTGTAGAGTGGCAGTCTGGATGGCGTCAGTTTCAAATTTTTCCATAAACACGTTGGCTACAACCAGAGATAGGGGGGGAGCCCATTGGGGTGCCCTCAATTTGTTTGTAGAAAGTTCCATTCCAGGTGAAGTATGTGTTGGTTAAGCAGTGTCTCACCAGGGGGGGTACATCAGTATGCAGTCCTTGATGAACCAAGTCTTCAATGATTGCGATGGTGTCAGGTACCGGAACTTTGGTGAATAAGGAAACCACATCAAAGCTGACAAGCAGGTCGTCTGGGGACAGGGAAATACCCTTGATTGTCGATACCAGGTGAGTAGAGTTTAGTACCGCAGAGGTGGTTTTTCCAGTGAAAGGTCGCAGGATATCAGACAGAAAACGAGCTAGTTTGTAGGTGGGGGAATTGATAGTGGAGACGATGGGACGAATAGGGTGTGTCTTCTTTATGTATTTTTGGAAGGCCATATAATCTTGGTGGTCTAGCCACAGAAGGTTTCAACGAGAACTGTTTGGTTTGATCAATTAATGCTGTTGAATCAGAGATGATTTTGTTGGTTTTAGTAACCAGGCTGTTGGTGGGGTCTATTCTTATTTTCGTATTGCTGCCATCGTTGAGTAGTTCTTGAATTTTGTTGTTATATTCTATTTTGTCCATGATGACAGTGGCATTGCCCTTGTCGGCTGAGAGGATGACAATGTCATCTCTCTTTTTTTAATTGAGATAATTCAAAGCGCTCGTATTTGCTGATGTTGCTAGGTGGCATCTTAGCGTTTTAGAGGGTTGCAGCGATTTCAGATCTTGCTATGTCTGCAGCGATGTGGCCCAGGCCCTTGAGTGCCACGTCGACATGGGCAATGATACAATTAACTGGTATGTGTCTAGGTGTGACTGCAAAGTTTAACCCTTTAGCGAAAACGGCTTTCAGACCATCAGAAATAGAGCTGTTACTGCGATTAATTACGACATTGTTAACGTCCAACTTTTCAGTGTGTGGATCCGATTTCTTGTTGGAAAGGCGGTTGAATTTGGAAATCAAATTATCCTTACATTTGGTCGACAGTGGCAGCTGAAGAGGCAGTTATATTGTCTACATGTTCCCAATCCGATGTAGACATTGTTGCCGTCAATGATAAGTGTGATTTGTAG